TATATAAATACCAACCTTTCATTCTCTATACGTAATTTTAAATACACAGATGAGTTGTACACAAATCAAACGAGTTACATGCTGTGCAGACTGCCTATGTCTATAAGGGGAGCAGCACATGTGTCCGAAATTTTGATCTCGTGGAATCAAAGTAACGGACATTTGAACCTGGCGATTGATACCCTGTATAAATCTACGCTACAAATATTATATTAGATAGTATGCCAACTTCTGCAAGAGCTGATTTATATAGTAAGATGGAAATACAATTCTCATATGGTCCTGTAAAAAGGCATCATCGACCACGTGAGTTGCGCACTAGGTAGTGAGATAAACTTGAATGAAGTATCATATACAAACAACAAATAATAAAAGACGACAGAACATACCTTAACAAATTCATTCGTCAAAAATTGATATAGCCGAAGGCTCTTTAATTTAAATTTAAACAAGTTTGCACGATAAAGTCACTAAATGGACATAAAAATAATTGGGAATGTCGCTAAATGTACATTTGTACATATTTGATCAATATTTCAGTACGTTTTCATCGACAAAATGGATACATGTACATTTAGTGACTTTGTTCAGAAATATACAAGTGTCAATTAGGTGTCATCGAATGACACCAACCGCCGTAGAAAAATGTTAAAATAGAACACTTATATGAGGTATATTATGTACACGTTAAAAACAAATTATGTTACTTTTATCAGTAGTTCATATGGTTTAACAGAGTGCTGAGTAAATGCTCACTAACTCCATATCCCACCTCAGTTTTTTTGTGCGTAATATTGTCTGTGAATCGTGTATGATGCAAGCAGATTCGCACAGATTTCGACTAGCAACTAATGATGACGAACTTATACCATTTTTCTTGGTTAAAATTGCTGGGAAAGATAATGCTATATGTTCAGGCAGTAGAGTTAAAATGGCCGGATCAGTAGAATAGAAAGTAGCCCCACAGCTCTTACCATCTATAGTTGTCTTTTTCTTATTATACACGTACTTCATATGAATGATGTCAAAGTCTTCGTCGTCACTCATGACTAAGTGATACACAGATTCTGGCCATTCGTGTCTGCGAGTATATGATGATATATCACAGCCTGTGCATGGTAGCCTTATGTTCCAGATGATATCGGGTTGCCAGTAAAAGACCTTCTTCCAATAGAGACAATCTATGTTTCCCGCATACTTGATATGTGCTGACGGAATAGGAGGGTGTTCCCATAGATAGCACCGTCGTATTCTGTTCTATGTATCATCAGATCTTAATTCTACTTGAGCCTTCAGACCATTACAACGCTTGTTGAGGAAGTGTTGTCGCAAAGGATATTTCGGTATAGTATCGACAGGTGGTGTATTGATGTTTGGTCTGATTTCGTCTCTATCGATCGTGCCTACGAATGTCTTTGTACCCGCGACAGCTGAATTTCTTTGATGAGGTTGATTTGTATTGTCCGATGTGTGTGCAGTATTGATATCGATTCGGACTCGTTTGTCAAGAAATGGATTAGTAGTTGTAGAGAGACAGTGTTGCTGAGAGAAGTTGCAGGGTTTGTTGTAGTGATGAGTGTGGTGTCCGTTTGTATTGCGAGTGTAGTACTGTAAGTTTCTACGGCTGCAGGTTGTCTGATGTTGAACATTCGCTTGGCGTTGGCTTGTGCGCGACGCAGGTCCTCTTGAGACTTGGGTGTCTTCTCGGATTGCTTACGGCCACTGTTCTGGCGAGAACCGCCGTGAGAGCTCATAGTAGCAACAGCAGTATTAAAATGACAGGATATAAATGTACAGGCAATAAATTGTGTTATTTATATACGGTGTTTTGTACAACATTTTGGCTCCAAATTGCGCCTGCGGCGCCAAAAAGGCCTATTTGTTTTTTACTTCAAGTTTTAGCCAGTAGTGAGCAGGCTCAACACACGTACTATGCGAGCTTAATATAAATAAATAAAAATCCCATGGCGACGTCACTACTATGTGGCTCATGAGTCATGACTGCCTACTGCCTTTGACAATGGGCATTGGGCCGGCTATGGCTAGTCCCGTCGTCCCGAGCAGCCTGATTCTGAGTCCCGAACTTCTGACTCTTGCGAAGTTTTCCTTCTGCAAGTGAGTAGAAAGCAGAAACCTGTCATAGATTCCAGGGAGGATGTCAAAGTAAACTTAAGTTTTCTTTGTTAGGATTCGAACCCTAAGGCCTAAGACCTAAAGTAGCTCAAGTCGTTTCCCGTTAAAACTTTTATATCTTGGCTATAAAAGCGTTAATATTTAATTTTTAAAACACATTTGGTCCTGTAAATTTCCATAGAGGTGCTATTTCTAGGTCCGCAGATTTGTCCCAATACAGATGCGCTTGTCCAAAATTTTTTTATGACAACAACCGTTAGGCGTTATGATATCTCTACATACAACCGACTAATCAAAACACAAATCAAACACTCTTGTTTGTTCATCACTAACAACTGTGAGCTATAGACATACAGTGCTATAAAATTGTCTGCAGGTCCGCCACGGTTTGTGTGTGTGATTGTGTGTTTGCCACTGTTTGCGAATCGCAAAAGTTAGTGTGAAAATGACAAATGTGCTGTCAGTTGGAAGTTGGAACTGCATCATCACTATTTATGCTAGCTTATGACTGGTCAAAAAGATAGGCGCATAGTCGAAGTGCAATTTTGAGGGGCTCGTTGGTCATTTATAAGCGTCGAAATCGGTTTTTTAAGAATAAGTTTATACGACATGAAAATAAACATCAATGTTTATGCCGGTTGGGCGGGCGAGTCTAAACCAGGTTTCTCTTCAGGATCTCCAAACTCCAGCTGCCATGTTTCATTTTAGAAGGCTATGGCCAGGCGTGAGGCCGCAAGCTGTCCAAACTCCAGCCCACGAGGGACGAGGCGCGAGAACTCTATTTTTTGGCGATATTTTTTCGAACTGCGAACACATGCATCATCATCATCATGCAACGAGACTACGAGAGTCGAGACTCTAGACTGAGAGTATGATATCTTCATAAATAAATAGCCTTGTTTGATTTTAAAAAAAGGATTTCAGAAATATTTTAAATACCTACATACTAAGGTATAATTTAGAAAGCTATAGTAAAAAGACCTATGAATCGTGATATTTGCCGGTAAAAGCAGGGCCGTCAAAGGTGCCCGGATGAGTGCTCGACGCAGGGGTGTGTTTTGGGGGGACATTTTCGACGTGAAACGCAGCGATCATACGTAAATGTAAGCATCTTGGAGAATTGAAATTTCTCCAGGATCATTTGGACAACTCGGAAGCCAACTACATTTTTAGCGAGTTCGAGGTTGGTCAATAAATAATGTTGAGTTAGATTGTTGAAGAGCCATGTCTCATCGTTGGAACCAGGGTTAACAGCTGGTATAATTTCATCCACGTAGAGCAGAACCATGATGTCGCGACTGGAATGACGCCAGATGCTTTCGTCAGCGACTGATTGAACATATCCATGGGCACGTAGTTTGTCAGCAATATCATGGTTCCAAAGCCGGCCGGCCTGTTTCAGGCCATAGAGACCTCGTTTCAACTTGAGGATGGTACCCGCATGATAGTGACCGAGTTCTACCCATCCTTTTGAGGAAATATATACACTGGAACATCTAATTTACTGTAAAGGAACGCAGAGAGGACGTCGAAATGATAAATTTTCTTACGTTCAAAAGCGGCGGTATCCAGGAAGAGGCGTAGGGACATAGAGTGTGCTGCGGGAGCACAGGTTTCCATATAACTGTCGCCCTCAATATGTTCGTCGCCCCGGGCGACCATACGTGCTTTGTAGCGCTTCAAGTTGCCATGTTCGTCATGTTTTAGTGCGAAGAAAATATTGTGGATGATCTTTGTGGTAGAAGGGACAGAAGACTGAGGAACAATATCAGCTAGTTCATTACGGATACGATTTGGCGTTCGGGTTCGATGGCTTCGGACATTTCGGACCAGTGTTGAGTCTTCTGGGCAGCCGAGATCGATTTCGGGATAGTAGGATCATGCATGGAGTCTAGTTCGGGCAATGTCGGCTCAGAACGTGTGGTGGGGGTAATCGCACGAACGTGGGGGAGGTCAAGTGGGAGGGTGGTTATGTATCGTGTAGCATCTAGGGACCAGATTATCAAAAAACCAATCCAAATCCCAAACCCAGAATCATCAAATACAGAGTTTTGGAATTAGTATTGGAATATTTCCGATAATAGAGTCATCAGAAACATTAGGGGTAGAACCGGTAAAATATACTGGGACCCCCGCGTGAGAGAGAAACACTCAAGTAAATCCCGAGTCTAGTGAAAACACAAATAAAGACTCATTTCGGTTCTCTCAGACTAGGGGCTTTTCGTAGCTGAGGTAACCGTACTTGAGAAGAGGTCTATTGTATCCTATTGTCTCGTACCTTTCAGCTACTCTTCATACTCTACATTTTTTACCATATCATTACTTAAATAAGTCAACCAGACACACTACACGTTAAGAAGTTATCGTAGTTAGTGAAGCATAAGCCAACCGATTCCGAAGAATAGGAGGAAGTGGAAGCAAATAGAAGAAGCTTTATTAAAACCGTGAGGAAGCCAAGGGGGGATCCAATAAATCACACACAAAAAGGCAAATCAAACAGCACATAAATCCGGCTGGTAGACATCAGCCGTATATAGATATATATATATACAATCTTATAGATACCACTATAGAACATTCCACCACTTTAGAACACTATACAGAAGGATACCAAACAAACTCCAACTATCCATCAGATAGAAGAAGGATACACAGATCACACAGAAAGGGGTAAATCAAACAAAGCAAAATCTCAAATACTACAGGACTAGTAGAACACGAGTCACTATTCAGGCACAGAAAGAGAATCACACAAGAATACTCTAGCACAATTGAGGTGTTACACATCTAGCACAATTATTGTGATACACATCTAGCACAATTACTGGGATACACATTGATATTTAGCGAACAACACGCAAAAGCACGTTCAATTCAACCAATGGCAGGCTATGTGCACATACAGAGAACATAGTTCATGACGAATATTACTAGCATAGCACATAGAGCTATACGATTCATAGAAAGACAAGTGAGCCATCACTGAAATATACAACCAAGTATCAAAGGTAGACAAAGACGGAAAGACGCTCTCAGATCAATCAGATCTCAGAAATAAGCATCTAATACAATCCGTCACACCATTCGAGTGCTCAAATAAATCACAACCAAAAGCAAAGGACGAAACAAACAATGATAACGCAAGACATTGGAGTATATAATCCCTAACGACATATCGGTCAGGGTAGAATACGGAAATCAATCAGATTCAACGTACGAGCAGCTAATGTGTCCCACACAGAGCAACAAACATACTATTCACACACAAGAGTGAAATCTCAACCACAGATTCACATTATAAGAGGAGTTAACTCATACTAATCGCACACGAATACCAAGTAGTCGTGACAGAACATAATGAAAGCTTGTTGTAACAATCACACTGAATCCACAGCAGTTCAAACAAAGTACTTCACTATAAGTTACACAAGATTGGCAAATGCTAGAAATAGAGCAGGCAATACACACGTAAGTGTACGAGAAAGATCACAAACATACATATACACAACAAGTATATCAAATGACAGGACCCAAACAATAGTTTGGCACACATATGTCACCACTTGTCTGGTTGACATCAATAAGACCGAACTTCCTCGGTGACGTCAAAAAGACCGAACTTTCTCGGTGACGTCAATAAGACCGAACTTCCTCGGTGACGTCAATAAGACCGAACTTCCTAGGTGACGTCAATAAGACCGAACTTCCTAGGTGACGTCAATAAGACCGAACTTCCTAGGTGACGTCAATAAGACCGAACTTCTTCGGTGACGTCCCCAGGACCGAACATCTCAGTGAAACCACATATGAGAAAATAAATTCTCACATGACGGAATAACACTAGTGACAATAAGTTCTCACGTGACGGAATAAGCCCAAGTGACGTCACCCATGCCGGAATAAACCCAAGTGACGTCACCCATGACGGAATAAGCTTGACAAACAAACACCGTTTTTATCCCTCATAAATACAGGGAATAAAGCAACAAGCTACCGGGCAATACAGCACGGTAAACACTTCCAGCGGAAGTGCAGCAAAGCAACAACACTATAACAGTAAGTAAAACAAATACAAATTTTATTTATTTTATATGAATTATTACTAAAGACGGGGGGGGGGGGGGGG